AAAAAAAAAAACCGGAAAAAAGAACAAAACAAACGAGTGCCAACGGAAATGGGCAACGATTGGCTCAACTGATTCCCAAAGGGTTTTCCAAGCGCATTTGGCCCTCTGCGATGGGGTCCCGGAAAAGGTACTGTCCGACTTTCCAAAATGACTTGCCCGCTTTTCGTGGGCAAACCACTTTTCCATCCGCAAAGCTGTGGGGTCCAAGCCTTAGGCCCACTCTGCTTTGTTGGCGAGCCATGCTCACAAACAACAGTGCTGTGGACGGGTGTGGTGGTCCACCATGGTGGGGCACGTGCTCCCCTCCCTGCTCATGGAGATGGATGACAAGTCGACAACCCTTTCTTTTTTTCATTTTTTTTTCGAGCAACCATCCACATTCAATTTGGCTGTTAGGCCTGGGGTTAAGGGCATTGACTGTTAGGCGTGGTGGTTCCTCGAGAGGATCGCGCTAGTGCTCCAGCGCTAACCTGCGCCACAAACCGGCCGGCAAGGCCCGGTCGCACTTCGTGGACTGGGGCAGTGGTGTGTGGTGGCCATAGCTGCCCCTGGTTTTTCCTGTCGTTCGCTTGGTCTTTTGACTGGGCGATGGTGCACTTCTCACTGGGTACGACAGGAGACGGTACGTCGGTGACGGGCGCGTAAGGTGTTAATTAGACGGCCCGTTTTCTAATTAGGGGGCATCTCATCTGGCGCGTGGGGATATATGCTGTTGCCAGGGATGACGTCGACAAGCACTAAGCTACAATATGAAGCTGATCAGTGGATTTCGTTCCTGGAGGCGGGTCGATGTCGATTGCAGGATCTGGTGGATGCCTTATCCACAACAGCCAAGGCTTGGCCAGAGGTCGATGGGGGAGCGGCCTTGGGACTGGAGCAATGGGTGAAGGACATGACTCAGTCCATTATGGACGTCATCTGGGAAGCTGAGGAGGGGCCAGACCCGCGTTTGGACACTTTCATTAACTGGGGCCACGTGGATATCTTGATGGAGAGATATTATGCGCTCTTTGACGAGGCTCATGACCTGCGAACTGTGTAGGAAGAGCGTGCACAGGAGGGGCTCGTCGAGTATGATGACAAGTGTCCGTGACAGACTGCGACGGCTGCAACAACGATTACAACAACGACAACTACTGATGTGGCGATGATTACCTCAACATCTATGGCGCTCACGACGATAACATTAGCGACATCAATTATACTGATAGAGCCTGCGATTAAGACGCTGGCATCTGCACAGGACACCAATATCAACAACAACAACAACTACACCAACAACAATAGCATGTGATACGCAACCTCACGCCCCCTCGTGGCTTCCCGTACAGGGTCGCCGATCAGAGTTCTAGGAGGGGCGTGGCGGAGGATTTTTGGCCGTAGGGGTTGAGTCTCCCGGACGGAACGGGAGGCTATCATTTCGTGCCAGAGGTTACCCCGGAGTCGAACTGTTGTCGCGAAGTCCCGTGGGGGTCGGATCGCTCCGAAACGATAAAATCAGAAGGGTTTCCGCGAAAACGAACTGCCGTCGTGCATCAGGACGGGAAAAGGCATCAAGGGGAGAGGGCCATGGCGGCGGAAGACAAAACTTCGGCCGTCAGGGGTTTGAGGGATAGGTGGTGGGGTCGAAGCCTTCAGGCCTCGTCATCGGCCTCACGAAGTGACCGAACCATCAGGTCCTTGCTGTAGAGGTGGTTGGTTCGAGGCCTTCAAGCCTCAGCGTCGGACTCACAGAGTCCGCGCGGAAGGTTCCGGGAGGGTAAAGCGGCGGGAGGACTCGCCGGCATCCGAATTCGAAATTGCGCGGGCAGCGCCCCCGCACTACGGGAAAGCTCGGGGAAACGTGTCGCTCCCTCGTAACCCAGGACCAGCCGTCACGAAGAACATGAGTCCCCCTGGCGACTCCAGCGACAATCAAACTGTGGCTGCCACGCGGCGTGAGCGGCCGACCAGGGCAACACAGTCAAACCTGTATAAGGCAATATTAGAGTCGGGGAATCGAAACGATCGATCAAGACAAACCCGTTCCCCCTTATATCACAAGCCAGAGGCGGGTCTCGCCAACACACTTGCTCCGTTCGCCTCAGCGCGCGCCGTACGTCCGCATCGCAGTAGAAGCAGTCGTCATCTGTGATGGGGAAGGTCGGTAGCGAGATGGGACGATTGGAAGAAGGTGATGAACACGGGCAAGATCCCGCGCTCCTGGTCATCCGAACCAACATCGACTCCATACAACACTCGATGCAACCTTCTCTCTCGGGGTTAGCGCGTAGGAGGAAGATGGCGAAATCGAAGCTCTCTTCCCCTTGCGGGGGCGTCAACCGCGTGCGCGGACGCAGGCGGTTGACGTCACCGGTACGGGGACGAGAAGCTCAAAAAGGAAGGCGAGAGAGAGAGGGAGAGCTTACACCGAGAACGCGCGCGGGCGCGCAAAGGGCCGCGGAAGGGAGGGGAACAACGGGATTAACACACTCGTACTCCTAGGCAGACGGTCCCCCAGTTCAGTTTCCCCGTCCCCACGCGGACAAGTACATACACACATGCATGCAGACAACCAACAACCCTTGACAGGACATCTAATCATCCATAGACTTTCGACATCACTCATGCGCACAACCAGCTCCCATCACTCGGGGCTTCACACACACGACATGCATAGACAAAGCAGCAATGGAGATAAAAGCGAGTCCTTCTTGTACACAAAAATTTCAATTAACTGCCGCCCCCAGGCGCAGCCTTCGAACCTCCCAAGACCACCGACCACCATAGCCACAAGGCCCTGCCGCGGCCGGCGTCAAATCCCCACCACTGCTCAGTCCCTTCGACTGCGTCGCCCCAAGACTACCGCGGGTCCACCCCATGTCGTCACTCCGCCCGTCCTTGGGCTCGTCGAGCCTGTTCGGCGCTGCGGACTTTCGCACATAGCTCGCGCAGCATTGCAGCCGAGATCAAAGAGAGAGAAAGGAGAGGGTTGCGCGAATTTATAGCGCGAGAGGCGGCGGGTTGTCAGTGCGAGGTGCGGGCAGCGCAGGTTGCAGATGAGCAGGGTAGGAGGGAGGTGGGGAGTTAGAGGGTTCAACCCGCGGGATGGCATGGTCCTGCGTGATTGGGGTGTCCGTTCAAGTGGTGCGCGGTTTCCCGCTCTCCGCATTGATCCGAGCATCCCAACTACGCGGCCAATCACTTCGCGGAGTAAGGATCGAGCTGGGCGGAGGGGAAGACGAAGAGTCCTGCATGGGAAAAACGCGCGCAGCAAGAAGGGAAGATGGCGCGGGGATGCAAAACAAGAAACGGGGGTGTGAGACGCGCGAAGAAGTCGGAGCTTAGGCGCGCGCGCAAAAATTCAAAAAAAAAAGGTTCCAACCAAAACCGTTTCTTGCTTTTCATACCGCGGCCGCTATTTGCCCGCACGGGAGTTATTAACCAAACAAAATGAAAAAGCCGTTTCAAAAAGAAAACAAAAGCAAAAAGAAGGAAAAACCCCTTTTTGTCCGTGTCCGTACTTCAGGGCTTCCGCGGGATTTTTCCTCAGGGATACGGCAAGCCGCGCGGTACAGATCTGAGCTTATCACATATGTGATACGCAGGGGGTTCCGAAAAATTAGCAGTCTCCCGACTGCTGATGTCATCATATCTTGGATGATCGGGCGGCCTCTTCATTGTCAGCTGGCCCGATCATCTTCCTAATCTACGTGGATGCATACTGCATCCTCCATCGCCTCCTCCCATAGTATACATCCGATCGGGCGGCCCCTTCATCATCAGCTGGCCCGATCGGTAAGTAGTTCTCAATTTTTTTTTATTTTTTTTTTTTAAATTTATTTATTTTTTTTACACAGCGCGTCTCGACGCGCGAACTTTGGGAGATAGGAGAAGAAGACTATAAAGTGAAGAAGAAGGAGAGAACAGGGGAGAGGTAGACGAGGGTGATCAGAGGAAGTGATCTATGTCGGGATTGAGAGTGGGCAGAATAGGCGGAAGAAAAGCGGCCATCGCCGCGGGAGTCGTCGGCGCATCTTCCTCCTGGAAGTGGTGTTGCATGAACGAGGGATAGAGGAAAGCCCCCGGCACATGAGACAGGACACGTGGCGCCAGATCCGCCACCTCTCGCACCACCCGCTTGCGCACCGATCGGGGCCCTGGACCCGTCATCACCACATGAGTCTCAGTGTAAGGCCGCCGCTCCCACTTCTGCGCCGCGAAGACAAGGAAGTGGTACATCGCATTGGGACGCTGCCCGGTCTCGTAGATGAGCGTCCCAGCCAATCGCGCCGCAATACACCCTTGAAAAGGGGGTGTCAGATATGGCTCCCATGCCGGATCAGGGCGCGACGCCCCCGCGATGGCCTCGAGCCTGATGCTAGCGGGCTCCACCATGAAGTCCACCTCTGTCGGATGGACCGTCCGGCTCGGAGGAACTACTAATGTCAATGACCGGGGAACCCCGGGGTGGCTGGCGGGAACGGAGAGGTCCCACGAGGACGGAGGGTCTGGATATGGGATCCGAAAATCCCATTCGGCTTCCTCCTCCCGCTGCTGCTGCTGATGATGGCCCGGCTCCATCAAGATTGAGATCGGGCACACGCGGAAAGGGCGGCGATGGCACGACAGTCTCCTTAACGAGCGTCGCCGCACTCCCAGGTACGGGGTCAGGATTCCGCGTACGAGCAGGCTGAATCACCTCCTCGCCGCCACCGATCCTGCTGCCTTGCGCTCCTGGCGACGGGTGGCGTCTCTTCCTCTTCGGCGTCTTCTTGGGGGCCTTCGGTGGTGCCGGTCGGGGATACAACGAGGGAGGCCGCAACGGCTTTTCCTCTGGGAAGTCCTCCAACCTCTCTGCGCGCTGCGCAATGTAATCCGGGATGACGACCGCGTTGTACGTTCTCCGCGGGGCCGTCGCCGTCCATAATCGTGGTTGGATCTCCTCCTCCTCGCTCGTGATCACTTGCGCAATAGAGAGGAGCTCAAGATATATGAGCTCCAACAATCCCGGATCGATCGTCTGGATCTGGGCGAATGGGTACAGCGCCACCGTCCCTTCCTTCTCCGCTGGCTTGGGCCACGTGATGACGTAGTAGACGACGAAGTGCTCCCCGATGCAGTGGTCTTCGTGATCCACGAAGAACCGGAACATCCCCAGCGCCACCGACTTGTACAGTGCACAGTGCAACTCCCACGCGTCTTCGTCGGCGAAGGGCAGCGGCTCCACGTCAGTTAGCTCCACCAAATACTCCGAGAACTCGCGCATGGGATAAGGGCCCTCCGTGAGCTGATAGGGGAGGGTGGTGTAAGAGAAGAAGGGAGGCATTTAGTACGGGACAGGGGGAATGGCTTGGAAGTTGAGAGGAGCAGCGGGAGGAAGAAGCGCGGGGAGCTGTGGCACCAACGCAATTGGTTCGTCCTCTGCCCTACGCAGCAGCACTTCGTGGGCTGTGAATCGGTGTCCCCCCCGTCCTTGCAATCTGGCCACTGATCTGGCCGCTTCCACAGCGTATTGGCACACAAAGCTTTGCGTCGGCTCCCGATTCGACTGCGGTAGGATCGTCAAGTCTCCGATAAAGGTGGCGACGCTGTGCACGAAGTTGGGTGCCACCTGGAACGCGCGGAACTCAATGAAGACTCGAGTCGTTTCCCGACCAGGCAACTGCGTCACGTCTACGTACACCCCCGCATACGTCAGCCGATCGCAAAGCAACGAGTACGCCACCAAATCAGCAACCCCGGGCGCTGGCACGTTCACCTGCTGAATGTCGTACCGCAACTGCCTTTCCTCATTGAACCGATGCCGCAACAAGCGATTTGCAAGTGGCGTCTGGAAATGCTCGAGGGGCTCATGCTCCGGCTGGCGATGGTTCATCCTGCTCCCGGAAACTCTCAGCACCAATGGACGAGGCAGATCGGGAAGAGGAGGAGGATGAAGAAGGAGAGGGTGATCTCGCCGGAGCGGGGGTCCGTAGGGGACCTAGCGATGGCTGAAAGGGCCAGAGCGCGGCAGCGTGCCGTGTCAGCGGTCGGGCCTGGGAGTTGTGACGGGGAATCAGCTTCACGGAGTGCTGTCCCTGTGCGCCAACTTCCGTGACCTCGTAAATGCCTGTGTAGTGCGGGTGGATCTTGGAGGAGCGCGCAGATTTCCGTACCTGCACCAAGTCCCCAACTTTATAGCGGGGCAATGGTCCCGCCGACGCGTGTCGATTCTCGTAGTCACGGATCTGCCGTTGATGTGTCCGATCTACGGCCTGCTGTCGACGGCGAGCTAACGAGGGATAGGCCCTAGCCATGAAGTCCGTGTAGTGGCGGGCCTTATCTCGGTTCTGGGCCCGTGTTGCTCTAACTTTCGAACCTACTAAGGGGGACAATTGCACCCGAGGGACACTATTGGTTCTCAGTTGAAAGGGGGACACCCCAGTACTACCTTGTGGGGTAGCCCGATAAACGGCCAAGATGTGGTCGACAATGACCGGCCAGGGCCGGGTGTCTCCCGCAGTGATATTCCATCTAAGGGCGGTCTTAATCAGTCGGTTGGCATTCTCTACCAGGCCATTGGCTTGAGGCCAATGCCCTGGCAAGTAGATAATCTTAACGTCCGCCCTGACTAGGTGACGTTCTACTTCGCCTTGAAATTCCAACCCATTGTCCATGTGTACCTCTTCTACGTCTAGATGCATGCACAAAAATCGATTTACATACCAGGCTACTTCTTGCAAATTCCGGCTGGTCATAGGGTACGCCTCTATCCATTTCGAAAAATGATCGACGGCCACTAAAAGAACATTGAGCTCTCCCTGATCGACGGGACCTCTCGGAACGTTGATATCCGTCGTGTCGATGCTAACCCTCTGAAAGGGGCGCTTTACCCGAGTGGGCACCATCGTCCCAGGCATCTGTACCGGCGCCTTGTCCACCGCGCAGGCCGGGCAATTCTAGACGGTGTATTTCACATCTTCCCGAATTCCCGACCAGTACCATCCATACTTTTCGATGGCTTTTTTCATGTACTTGACCGCGAAATGGACCGTATCCTCTTCATGAGCGGCTCGTGTCCAATCGAACCTAGCGAAAGGGTGCGGAACCATCAACCAGCTAGACCCTCCGTCATCATCGACTTTTCGTTTTTGTAACGTCGGTCCCTGCCAGCGATAGTCCTGCGCCCGCTCCGTGACTCTCTGCCGCTCGACTTTGGTAAGTTCTGACAGCGAGTCGCCTGGCAGCCTCCGTAACAACAGAAGGTCCGTCCAGACTTCCGCCCGGCGGACACTTGGCGCAAATCCGTCGGTTGTTCGTGCATCCAGATACCGTTTCTCGGTAGGGACTTGGTCCGTTCTACAGTTGGGACAGACCCACGTCTTTTCACTTCGGTACCTAACGCATTGTCCGTGGGACTTGACCGCTTGACACCGACTACACTGCACCCACAAAAGAAAATTGGGCCCTCCCGGACCCTTCTTGGTCCGGGACCATAGTCAAAGTACAGAAAAAACAGGGACTTAGATGTGTTTCAGGGGACAAGTAGGGACTAAACGAGAGAGCGAGGGAGTTGGATGAGGGCAAAGAGATAGCGTCTGCCATCTCCGGCGAAACCTCCATTCCGGACTCAGGCGTCGTTCTTGCGCAGCACGTGTAGCTCCCCGTAGTGTGGTTTCGTCGCCGCGACTTCTGGCCTCCACGGAATGAGTCGCTCGTTGGCGGGACACTTGTTGGGCGGCAGGAGGCGCGTCAATCCATCGGCTTTACCATGCTGCCGCGTGGCACGGTGGCGGATGTCGAAGTCATAGTCTTGCAAAAGCACCGCCCACCTGCCCAACGTCCCCGTGTAGTCCGTGTTGTTGCGTAGGGACAGCAACGGCTGATGATCCATTATCAACACGAAATTGTGGTCGTAAAGATACGGTCGGAAATGTTGGATCCCCCACACCACCGCCAGGCATTCGCCTTTGCATGCTTCGTAATTAGCCTGCGCCTGGCTCAGCGTCTTGGACGCATACTCAATGACGTGTTCCCTTCCGTCCGCCCCGTGCTGAGTCAGCACCGTCGATATCGCCTGAGGCTGCCAGTCGGTGTACAGTGCGAACGGTCTTGTCGGGTCAGCACGCGCCAACACAGGAGCAGATGTCAGAGCCTCCTTCAATGCCTGAAACTCCACTTCGCATTCCGGCGTCCAGATCAGCTGTTCCTCTTTCTTCAGCAGGTTCGTGAGGGGCTTCACTATACCGGCGAACCCCTTGATGAAGCGTCGGTAATAGGATGCCAGCCCTAGAAAAGCCCGAACCTGGGTGAGTGTGACCGGCGTCGGGGCTTCTTGAACTGCTGCCACCTTCCTTGGATCCGGTTTTAGTCCATCGACCATGACGATGTACCCCAACAATGAGATCTCCAACAAGAAGAACTCGCTTTTCTCCAAGGCCACTTTGAACCCCGCATCCTTTAGTGCATGCAAAACCCACTCAATGTGTTCCACGTGGTACTCGTGTGTTTTAGAAAAGACCAAAATATCATCCATGTACACAATCACGCAGAAATTGATCAGGGGCTGGGTCAATCGGGTTTTGTTAACAAACTCAGCGAAGGCCATATTCATGGCCCGCTGAAACGTTGCGGGGGCGTTACAAATTCCCATGGGACACCGGACCCATTGCCGCGTGCCCTCAAATAGGACGAAAGCGGTTTTGGGTCGGTCCTCCGGTCGGACTGCGACATGGTGAAAACCGTGTCAGATATCGAACTTGGAAAAGACTCGCGCGGCCCCGATAGCATCTAATAAATCGTCGATTGGCGGCAAGGGATACACATCTTTGGTAGCGATAGCGTTCAATTTCCGGTAGTCGATACATACCCGGACCGAACCATTTCGTTTTGGCACGAGGACCACGGGAAAAGACCACGGTCCCARCGATGGTTCGACCCACCCCAACCGCTCGAATTCCCGTACCCTTTCCAACGCCAGTTGTCTTTCTTTAAGGGAATATCGGTACGGTCGGCAATGTATCGGGGCGTGATCCCTGGTATCAATCGCGTGCTGTATCAAAGGGGTTAGCCCTATGTCGTGGTCCTGAATACTGACGGCCTCAGAATAGGCCCGTATAACCGCCAGGAGGAGGCGTCCGTATTCATCCGGAACACAGGCTGGTAACTGAACTTCTACGGTTCCCTTAGGAAGGGAGACCGTCGTCGTAACCGTGGGGACCGCCGCGCTGGCATCGGGCGAGGCCCCAAACAAAGAGTTGTCGGTTTTCGCCGAAAGGACAGTCGCAATAAGTTGACTGTCCGCCGGACTCACCGGCTCGCTTTCTATGTCACTGTCACTGTCCAGTTCGGGTTCGGTCGAGGGTTCTACCGAAAAGGCCTGCGTCAGTTCCCTCGGTCCCCACCGATATTCCCTTGTCCGGGGTTGAAACGACACCCCCTCTTTCAGGAGTATCGCGGCTTTTTCATTCGTGAGTAGGAGCCGTGGAGGTCGAAAAGATAAATTGCACAGCCCCCCAAGCTCGGTAAATCTTTCAGGTAGGGGGTCCGTTCGGAGATACAAGGACGCAGGGGGTTCCGAAAGGTCAGCTATTCGGGACACCCTCAGCAGGGGTTCCCCCTGCACCACGGAGGAAAACGCGTGCAACCAATTGGACTCGCTCCGAACTATTTCCAGTGGTTCTCGCCGCCAAGAATGGCGCCACTGATCCTGAACTCGGATCGGATATCGGTCGGGTACATCAGTCTCGTCAGTTTCCGTCGAGGGTTCATTTTCGTCCAGTGACAGGCGTCGGATCATGTTGATTTGATGGGCTTTCGTGGTGAGTCGAGGCGCCGGCTGGGTGCGCATGTGCACTGCCAGTCTCATTGGTATCGTTTAGGGTTTGGGGTGGGCCGATGTGAGCACCACCTTACAGCTGTCGAAATGCATTCGCGCGCCGACCGCCGCTTGCCACGGAATGCCTAGCAGAACATTGTACGCCTGTACATCCAGCACGATTACGTCACACAAACAATGCACCCGCCCCACCCGTATAGACACGTTCGTTATTCGCCCTTTACAATGAATACTGTCTTCCGTAGCAGATATATACAGTTCATCCGGTCGGAGGGGCTGAACCTGTCCTTCCCTTCCCAACTGTTTCGTCAATCTCCAAGAAATGGCGACCACTGACGATCCCGAGTCTAGGATGGCGGCCGAGGGATTTCCCCAGACCTCGCAGTCACACTCAACGCTTTTCCAAGTTATAGGATAGGCTCGGAGGAATACCTCGGGTTTTTCCGAGGTTGAGTCCACGGTCTGGATCATTCCTATCCGGTCGGCTTCGTGCACCTTTGAGGTCGAGGGCTGCGACTTCTCGTTTGTGGGTAGGTCCCGTAGGACCGACTTTTTGCCCTTTCGACTTTCCTCGAATCGGCGCCTGTTTTTGAGGCATCATTCGATCAACTTCTCGTTAGCCGCTTCGGAAATGGTTAGCAGATAGGGAATAGGGACGGGGATCCGAAGATCTAGAGCCTTCAAGGCATCCAATACGTCGATATGGCCATCCTTGTATTCAGGACCAGGTGCCGCAAGGTCTTCGAACCCTGGTCGCCACGGCCCGAGGTCGCTTTCCTCGGTAATCCGTTGGACGTGACGTATCACTCTGATGGTCTCGGGTTCGAACATCGCCTCAGCCATGTATTCATCGAGCCCTATCTCGGTGGCCGCAGGGGTCACCATTTCCGTTGCCCCGGTATCCATCACTGTGGCCACCCTCCCCTGTCCTGCAGCGGTTGGAGCAGCCAGTGGGATTTGGGAAGGCCCGGCGGGCCCGCCCCGAGTTCGAGGTTTCGGACAATCTTTCGCAAGGTGACCTGGCTGATTGCAGTTATAACAGCGTAGGGGCGAGACAGCCCCGGCCACGATCGGTCTTATCATAGGGGCGTCGGCGGCCATAGCCGCCTGTTGCTGTTGTGCGGCGGCTAGGCGTTGTCGCTGCAGGCCCTGAACAAACTCCGTCAGCGGGGCCACTACCGTAACTAATTAGGCCGCGACCTCTTTCATGGACACTTCTTCCTCACCCTGGCCTCCTTGTGCTTGACTAGAGCGACGGGAGGTCGAAGCAGAGGAAGAAGCTTTCCGATCCAAGCCTTTTTTTGCCGGACCTAACCCGAAGCGATCTTCGAACATTCGTGTCGTAGCGGAGTAGCTATTGCGTCGAACCCCCGAGGGGTCATCCTCGTCGGATTCTGAGTCCATGCCCACATCGTAATTTTCTTTCCCGTACTTAATTGCGTACTGAATTAGCTCCGTCAGGGTATGTTCTATAGGGTTGCATTTCTTGCGGATCTTTTTCCGCAGACGAGAATCTGACAATCCTCTGACGAAATCAGTCTGTACCATTTTCTCGTCCACCCTGGAGCATTCGGCTAGGTACGTAAAACGTTCAGCATATCTAGCCAAGGTCTCCCGAGGCTGCTGCGTGTATTCCTTTATTAGACGGAGGCATTGACCTGGTGCGATGTGATCAAATCTATCGAGAAATTTCCTCTGGAAGGCTGGCCAATTAGCGAAGGGGTTATGTCCATACCACTCAAAAGCGGTTCCGGCTAACCTTCCGGGRATTCGTTCTCRGAGCAACTGGTCCGACCAGCCCTGGGCTTTCAAGGCAGCTAGCCAGGTGCGAGGGTCGGTATCATCTTCGGAGAAAATGGGAACTTCGGAAGGAGGAGGTACAAAGTACAGGGGATGATTGGCCATCCCCGCGTGGTTATCACCGTCATTTTCACCCCCAATTCCGGGTTCCACCATCACGGGAGGCGGGTTTTGAGCCCGGCCTCTCGCTCGGTTCTAATTGCTATTCGCGGGCCGCCGGCGACGGGGAGCCAGCCTATTAAAAAAAAAATGAGAAAAATCTAAAAAGAAAGATCAGAGAAAGAAAGGAAAAAAAGGAAAACTCTTAAGCAGAGTATTCGTCCTAGGAAAACCTCGGAGCTGAAACGAATCAGCTCTGATACCAACCTCACTCCCCCTCGCGGCTTCCCGTACGGGGTCGTCGATCAGAGTTCTAGGAGGGGCATGGCCGAGGATTTTTGGCCGTAGGGGTTGAGTCTCCCGGACGGAACGAGAGGCTATCGTTTCGTGCCAGAGGTTACCCCGGAGTCGAACTGTCGTCGCGAAGTCCCGTGGGGGTCGAATCGCTCCGAAACGATAAAATCAGAAGGGTTTCCACAAAAACGAACTGCCGTCGTGCATCAGGACGAGAAAAGGCATCAAGGGGAGAGGGCCATGGCGGCGGAAGACAAAACTTCGACCGTCAGGGGTTTGGGGGATAGGTGGTGGGGTCGAAGCCTCCAGGCCTCGTCATCGGCCTCACGAAGTGACCGAACTTGCTGTAGCGGCGTGAGCGGCCGACCAGGGCAACACAGTCAAACCCGTATAAGGCAATATTAGAGTCGGGGAATCGAAACGATCGATCAAGACAAACCCGTTCCCCCTTATATCACAAGCCCGAGGCAGGTCTCGCCAACGCGCGCCGTACGTCCGCATCGCAGTAGACGTTGTCGTCATCTGTGATGGGGAAGGTCGGTAGCGAGATGGGACGATCGGAAGTAGGTGATGAACACGGGCAAGATCCCGCGCTCCCGGTCATCCGAACCAACATCGACTCCATACAACACTCGATGCAACCTTCTCTCTCGGGGTTAGCGCGTAGGAGGAAGATGGTGAAATCGAAGCTCTCTTCCCCTTGCGGGGGCGTCGACCGCGTGCGCGGACGCAGGCGGTTGACGTCACCGGTACGGAGACGAGAAGCTCAAAAAGGAAGGCGGGAGAGAGAGGGATAGAGCTTACACCAAGAACGCGCGCGGGAACGCAAAGGGCCGCGGAAGGGAGGGGAACAACGGGATTAACACACTCGTACTCCTAGGCAGACGGTCCCCCAGTTCAGTTTCCCCGTCCCCACCCGGACAAGTACATACACACATGCATGCAAACAACCAACAACCCTTGACAGGACATCTAATCATCCATAGACTTTCGACATCACTCATGCGCACAACCAGCTCCCATCACTCGGGGCTTCACACACACGACATGCATAGACAAAGCAGCAATGGAGATAAAAGCGAGTCCTTCTTGTACACAAACATTTCAATTAACTGCCGCCCCCAGGCGCAGCCTTCGAACCTCCCAAGACCACCGACCACCATAGCCACAAGGCCCTGCCGCGGCCGGCGTCAAATCCCCACCACTGCTCAGTCCCTCCGACTGCGTCGCCCCGAGACTACCGCGGGTCCACCCCATGCCGTCACTCCGCCTGTCCTTGGGCTCGTCGAGCCTGTTCGGCGCCGCGGACTTTCGCACATAGCTCGCGCAGCATTGCAGCCGAGATCAAAGAGAGAGAAAGGAGAGGGTTGCGCAAATTTATAGTGCGGGAGGCGGCGGGTTGTCAGCGCGAGGTGCGGGCAGCGCAGGTTGTAGATGAGCAGGACAGGAGGGAGGTTGGGAGTTAGAGGGTTCGACCCGTGGGATGGCATGGTCCTGCGTGATTGGGGTGTCCGTTCAAGTGGTGCGCGGTTTCCCGCTCTCCACATTGATCCGAGCATCCCAACTACGCGGCCAATCACTTCGCGGAGTAAGGATCGAGCT